GTTTAATTATAGCACTCGAGTCAAGACTTTTTTGGATAATCCCTTCAAATTGATTCTATTAGAGAGAGTTTGGCTCTATTTGTGATGTTCTGTCGAAAACAGTTAATGTTTTAGTTATTTGTTGCAAAAGTTGTAGATTTTTCTTATAAGATGCAATTTTATTGTTAATCTCACTTTTGTTGACAATTTTTTTTCGGTAGTATAATGGCATATTTTGTTATCAAAACAATAGCTTAACTCTATGCTAATCTCTGGCTATGAAATGTTTTTTGTTTGTCTATAATATTCTATACAATGACATTTTGCAATATTTTTCACTCTTTTGTCGAAAATATTAAAAATCAGTTTATTATATGTTTGGAGCTGTCATTTTCAAACTGCAGTTTTATTTTTAGACGCTTTCCAAATTTAATATGTTAAATTGTTTCCAATTTTAAATTTAATAATAATTTTTATTAAAAAGTAAATGCAACTTGATTTGCATTTTCATCTTGTTTTTAAGATATTAATATCACGAGAGAGAGAGAGAGAGAGAGAGAGAGAGAGTTCTATAGTGAAGAATATTCTGTACCCTTTCTATATGTAAACGAAGTGTATGTATGTCTGAAGCGCTAAATAAAATAAATTATTTGCTTTTATAAATTGGAGCGCTTGTGAGCTATAAATAGATAGTTTTGTATAATATCTGCGAACAGAAATTATAATCACTTTCAAAACTAACACTTTTGCCCTATCGATGAAACCATAAACTCTTTGAGCAAACAGTTATATATTCGCAGCACTGAAACAGTTATCAAATTGATGTCAAACTAACTGATTGATTGAAATAATACACAAATAATACGAACAAGAATTAAACAAATGTCTCGAAATATACATTCAATTTGCATATTAATGGCATAATTATAGCAAAATGCCAAACGACTCATCTCTTGTGATTTTCAATGAATAATAAACTATTGAAAAGAATTTCTTGTGAGGACTGACTGAGAAATCTGCGATAATTGATGACACTATCAAACAAACCGCAAGATTTTAGACGCGATTTTAGAAATAAAAATCTTTATTTTTATACATTTATTGTCAAAATTTGTTAAACACTTTATCGAAATATCTGAAACATAAATAATTTTCTCCGAAATACTCATTAATATCATATTATGGTATCAAAGGGTACTGTATTTCGCAAGAGGTCCGACATATTTCTCGCCAATTAATGACGCGATTACTGGCATCCGATCGCTTCCGAAGACCAATTCGGGACCTTTTGGTAAATCTATGACAACAGTGGGGGCACCGAAACCCCCGTAAGACACCAGCTCTCCAGTAGTCTTCTTCAGAGCCTCTTTGATGTCGTTCTTCTCCATCGAAACGATCGCTTTCTCGACGATCTCCTCATCGATGGCACACGTTTTGGCCGCTTCTCGAAAACTATCGGGAAGTGTAATGTCCTGATGGCTGACAAACACTCGTTTGAACAGTTGTCTCGATATGTCTTCAGTCGACTTCCCTTTGGTTAACAAATCAATTGCAGTGATAAACCGTTGGGCCTTCAGAGACGACTTCATAGCTATTTCCATAAAGTTGTCGGGAATAACAATCGGGATCTTATAGTACTCGTTGAGTCTTTTGATATCTGCCACCATATATGGAATCTTATTGGGAACAGTAAAACCTGGCTTATTGTCGGTCTCCTTGAAAACAGCGGCTAAGTTGACGGGTTTGAACTTCAGAGCCATAGACTGCCATTCGGGTCGATAGCGGCACAGGAGCTCAAAGCTGATCCACGAATACGGCGACAGTATATCGTAATATAAATTCAAAAGCACTCGCTTTGAAGACATTTTAATTATGATTTTATTCGCTGTCCCTTAAAAAACAAAATTTTTTTCATTCAATTTGTTGTCTCAGTAATCAACTTATTTATAGTTTTGTTTTGTATCTCGTTTTGAATTGTCGATAAGTGTGCAAAACATTGAGATAGACTCCAATGAATCGTTCATTTTTGACGATTTTTTGGTATCACTTGAAGGACGACCGCTTTGAAAGCGCTCAGGGCTTCAACAACACGAACCACTTCTTTCTAAATTGATTTTCTCCACACTTGTATCCAATGTACAGAAAAAGTTGTCTATCATTCTGGCACTGGTGTACACTTTGTACCGTTCCTAAGGTTAGCCCTCATAAGCAATTGCGAAGAATATCCCACTTATTATCGTCTACTCATCCCAACCCTTATCATCGAAACGATAAAATCATTACTATTTCACTTCATTTAATATTTTAATTCAATATAAATTACATTAATTTCATTAAATATTCTGGAACTAATTTGTAGCTAAAATGATTATTAGATAATGAAAATAAAAATATTTTTTGATGACTTTGGAATATATTAAGTTTGCTCTCAAACTTGTCAATATTTACTGGAATTACAAAATTAGTTAAATGTTAAAAAATGTTAAACACAACTATTTATTTATCTAGTTATGACACTAATTACTCATATTTTTGCATTCAATTTGTGTATTTAAAATCGTTTTCGCACACAATCTGGTAAAACATTTTGAGACAAAAACAATTACAACAGTATTGTGTATTCCCTGAACTCATATTTATATAACATTGGGAAAATTGTATTTAATACTTTAATACTAATACTTTTCCCAATTTTTCTAGTAATTCATTAAAAAGCATTTTCGAAACGCTTAAAACATTTTTTGGATAAATAATTTAATCATTAATTCATTAAATTTTTAAAACCTTTCTAAGAGTTTGCGATAGTTTTATGTGTTTCTAAGAATATACATATTATTTGTTTTCCTAAAACTTAACCTTATTATTCAAAATATTATATAAAATCTTAAATATTTACTCAGTTATGTGTAAAACTATTTGCTGTATATACGATAATATATTCATTTAATGTCTTTATGATTACTACTAATTACGACAAAATGCTGAAAACATTTGGGATAATCTGTTTGCGAGTTGACTGAACTCCAAGAGTTGTGAAACATTGGAGACAAACAGACACTGAGCTCTGTGTCCCCATTACGACGAATTCAATGATTAAAAGCAACAAAAATATGTTTTTCTTATGAATCAANAACATTTGGGATAATCTGTTTGCGAGTTGACTGAACTCCAAGAGTTGTGAAACATTGGAGACAAACAGACACTGAGCTCTGTGTCCCCATTACGACGAATTCAATGATTAAAAGCAACAAAAATATGTTTTTCTTATGAATCAAGAAAGAGATGCGATTTTGTGTAGAAACCACTTAAAGCCAACAAAAAGACACTCTTTTGTTGTGTTTGTCGTCGTCTTTGACTTATTGTGTGATGAAAGTCAAGGGAAGACACACTTCTGGGAAACCGAAGGACTCATACATTAGTCTTAACTTTGATTTCTTATTGTTTTTGTGACGTAAATCAATTCCCTATAAACCAATGGTTTAAAATAGATAATAACATATAAATCACATTTGAATTAAATTTACACTCAAATTCGTATTCATAGTAATAAAGTGGCACAAACTTAATGCACGTAAACACTTATCTGAAATCATAATAATAATCAGATTCTTGATAAATATTTACAATAGATATGAACTTTTAAGGGCAAGAATATGATTATGATTTGCGATGAAAAATGGCTACAATTCATGAGATCTAGTATTTGATAGTAAAATGAATGGTTGAGAGTTTTGGATGCATTACTCAATTGAGATCATAGATCACATCGGAATAAATGGTGCGCTTCTGACCAGTAATAACACACTGAATGGTGTGACAAATGAGAGACGAAAAGATAGAAATTACTATTTTTACGAAACAAACAAATGATACATAAGTGGAGCCGAGAAGTTATTTTTAAAAAGCAATTCCTGAGACAAATGACCGCCCATTCTGGTGACCATTACTGCCAAACTGTTTCGCAAAATGTCTGTTTTTGCACACTATATGGACTCAAATTCTTAAGGAATTTAAAACTTTATATCTAAAAACTAACTCAAACTTTATTGAATTTATTTTTAAGATATATTATATTGATATTACAAAAGTTTGCAGCGAATAAAAAATTAAGTTTCAAATATTTGTCGGCATTTTATCTGTAAAAATATAACTTATTTATCGCACAATAAAAATAAAATAATGTATAAAATGTTGTTTTAGATACTGTTCTTAAAACTCATTAGCTATCAAAGTCTGTAATTAATTGAATGATTTCAATGAGATTGCTAAAAGGGGAGCCCTAAGTGCATGGTACATGTAGTCAAATGTATACAATAATTCATTAATTCTTGTTTAGTACATTTATATTTTGAGTCAATACCCCTTTGGCGATCCCATTACTCAAAGAATATTCTGTATTTATTGCTATTAATGGTTTCGATTTAAACGTTAAAAATAAGTTATGTTTGGATACCAGCAGTGGTTCTGCAGATGTGGTGCTATTGAGAGCACAACAAAACGAAAGTGAGTTTTCGCTATCGAGTGCTGTGTTTGAGATGAGATGTAAAGAAAATAAACTCAATTACTAGGAATAGATGCAAACCGACTATATTTAGCACTTAGTCTATGAGCTCGTGAACAGAGTTTGCAATCACTGTTCGCATTGCTTATGAGATGGGAATGGGATGTTCCCATACAGTGGATGTTGTGGATGCTGTAAGGAGTATGAGTAGCAGCACATCACTGCAACTCCGATTGAAACTTATTATATAACTCACTGCCGACTCATTTGATTCTCATTTCCATATTCTCCAGAATTTCGAGTTTGAAATCAAGTTTTCGACTATAGTTTGAAATCAAGTTTTCGACTATAGTTTGAAAACAATTCAATATCCTATGAGTCATTACTGTTGTCTAACACAAGTAGTTTACGACAATTCATATAACTTCTACAAAATATTTATTTTTGTGAAAAGTAAAAACAATTTCAACGATTGCTTGAATTAAAGCTTTTGCAAAGTTTTACATCTTATTTGAATACAATGTCTGGAATACCATCGCGAAGAAACTCTGCCTATGGGTCGTCGTCTTCGGGATATTCTTCGGCATCGTCTGCGAGATCCGCCACCAAAACGGCTCAATCCATCAGAAGGTCTCAGTCTATGCGTTACGCGCAAAGACATAACAGTAATCTGAGTCAAAACAGCACCGGATCTGTCGTACCATTGAACAGATCCCGAAGAGTGGCGTCTATTCCATCTAATATCGCAAATAACGGCGAAAAGTCTCTTAACAAAGAGGAGGAATATAATAGCGATGATTATAAGAATATCAAGAATCAGATCAAATCAAATGGAAAATCGGAGAATTTATTTAACTTTATTATCGCTAAAGATTTGGATCATTTCAAAAATGGTGAGACAGTGCTATTGGCTTTGATTTTGATTTATATATACCATTCAGTAGTATTAATTCAATGGGTTTTGAGCAGAAAAAGTGATCCGTGTCTTAGTGGTGGGATCACAGGATAGTGGAAAGACTTCACTCATCTCTCAATTCTCATACTTTCTGGAGGACCAGAGAAAACAATTTGGTTCAAACCAACAGCAAAACTATCTGATCCTCAACTTTAGGGAAATGGAAAGACTAGATAATTGTATGGGTCGGTCGCCAATCACTATGTATATGCCCGACGCTTATATTGTCATCTATGCCGTCAATGATAAGTAAGTTTACATTCTTTTATATTGTATACAATATAACATTTATTTTCATAAAGCTTTATTTAAAGAATATTTTTTTATTTTGATATTAATATAAATATTAAACTAAATAGATCTCTTATATAAATATAATAAATACATTAAAAATAATTATTGAACTAGTTAAACTTACTACAGTATATTTATGATCCTGTTATATTGTGTAACACATAATTAATTAATTTATGATGTGGAAAATGAAAGATAATAATTATTATGATTATTATAAATCATTATAATTTATAGGTTATAGTATAAATTATAGCATATAAAATATTTTATTACAAATTAACGGTTAGGGTTTAATGATTATCACAAAGTTTTAGTTTGCATTTTTATTGTTTACATTTAGATTACACTCTAAAAGTAATTTTACTTTTCTTTTAAAAGGGTATTAAATTCATAAGCAAATAATTTTTTAGAAATACAAATAAAAAGTCATTTAACATTTTCTCGTAAGTTTGTGAAAACTTATATATTTTTGACTCGTGTTCAGCACCGATACTGAGCCCTCATATTTGAACTAAATTCTCGCTAAAATAAGTTTTCCCTACAAATAGTTCGCGATATAATTAATCAATTCTTGAATACATTGAACCTTTCAATCAAGACATGCAATGAATATAAATGAACCCTTTTATCCGTTCAATCAATTCTATCCCAATATTAATGGATTAAAAAGTTTTATTTTTGTCTCTCAATTCAGTCACAAAAAGAAACACTTTTTTGTGTACAAATGTATTATTCAGTTAAAACAAACTTTTTTTGTGAAATTGCTTTTAAAAATAGGGATTCGTTTGAAAGCGCGAAGAAAGTGATTTCAGAGATTCATAAATGGGATGACTTTGATCTGAAGCCTGTGATCGTTGTGGCCAACAAAACCGATTTAGTCAGGAGTAGAACCGTCACTAAACAGGGTTTGTATCAATTGCTATCATATATCACTATATAAGTGCTCCACTCTATTAATACCTTATATCCAATACGAGTGGTTATTGTATAGCAAAAGCGCTGACTCTCGCTCTTATTCAGCACTTTCTACTTCTGTATTTGTTTTCATTAATCAACTTTAAAGCTAATCCATTGGATTGTTTGTTTAGACGGTCGACAATTAGCCATCGCTAACAACTGCAAGTATATTGAGACCAGTTGTGCCATTTCGCATAACATAGACTTCTTGCTCACTGGAATCGGCGCTCAAATCAATCTCAAGAATGGGTCCAACAAATCAGGTATTTCCTAACCGTCAGAATATTCGTTACGATTATATTCTTGTGTAACACTTCTTGCATTCCCATAACTCTCTCTCTCTCTCTCTCTCACTCACTCTCCCGAAAGTGAAAGTAATTAACAATACAGAGCAGTGACAAGTGTGTAAAGTATTATGTAATAAATAATATATATTTTTGTTTTTTAGGTCAAACCGGCAATTCTGGTCGAAAACCTAATTTATTCAGACGCCTACTCCGAAAGGCTGCCTTAAATAAGTCTAAATCTTGCGATAACTTACATGTTCTCTAACTTCACACACAGTATGTGTTAAACTAATTTAATTGTAATATATTTTGATAAAAAAATTGTATTATATTTTGAATGATATAGTGTTTTGTATAATTCATTGATTGATTCACTCAAACGACTCTTTCAGTCAGTATTACATAACTAGAGGTCTTCAATGACAAGACCGCACCTGTACTTCAATTTTGTTAGATATACCGTAATATACAGTATTTGTTAACATATAGTGTATTATACGCCAATGATTTGTCAATATTGCCAAATACTTTAAAGAGACAAATACTTCAGACATATGTAACAATTGATTTCAATTGAAAATGTGTACCAAAAGTCAATTCAAAGCCTTTATTCACACAAAGGTTTTAATTTTACACAAAAAATACCAATACTTTTATAGTATTTATTAATATTAATGTCTAATAATTAATAAATTTATTTCAATCGAAAATTGCGTTAAGAATGAATGAACGAAGTTTTGATTTAACTTAAAATTTCAATGTAAAAGAGACTATAAATTCTTGATGAGCACCAGTATCTTGTGAACGCTCTCCTCTTTCTTTTTAGTGATCTGTGCGTCACTTTCCAGATACGCGGCCTTCGCTACCTTTCCGTTCACCAACTTCTCCACCAAAAGCATCTGTTGGGAGATCTGTTCCTTCAGAGATCGGTCCAAACGCTGCAATTCATTCACTCTCTCCAACGATTCCGACGACTGTTTCCCACAAATCAAACAAATTCTTAGCAATCAATGCTCAATAGGGCTAACACTGGGCACTACTAACCGCTCCCTCCTGTTTGAGTCGCGCCTGGAGGTCAGTGATGGCCTGCGTTTCAGTCTTGTGTTCGGCGTTCAGTCGCTTCTGAATCGCCTGAAAAGCGGCCAAATCTTTGGTCGTCTGTCAGCAAAACAAACCAATGGTTAAAAACAAAACCCGAAGACCATTACGAGGGGGAATGGGAGGCAAACCTTGAACTTATTGGACGCCTTATCCAACTGTTCGTAGACTGTGGCGCGTCTGTCGTGATGACCGATAATCGAGTCATTGATTGCATTAATTTTAGCTAGACCATTACGACGGGGAATGGGAGGCAAACCTTGAACTTATTGGACGCCTTATCCAACTGTTCGTAGACTGTGGCGCGTCTGTCGTGATGACCGATAATCGAGTCATTGATTGCATTAATTTTAGCCGAACTCTGCTTCTGAGGGTTCTTTGAAATACTGAAATCCAAACGAACGTAAATCACGACAAGAATACAGAGCGAGAAGATGGCGCCCACCACCAGAAGCGGCTCCTGGAGCAGCAAAATCTTATTGAACTTGTAGTGCACCTCCACGTCCTGGATGTGCTCTTCGACTACATTGCTTTTATGAAAGACAAGAACTGTTCGCCCGATTGTATCCAAATATGTGTAATGCTTTTGATCCTTCTGTCGGTCCACAGTATAGGCCGACCTGTAGTTTATATCAGACGAGCCCTCCGGAAGAATCACTTTAACGGTCACGTCATCGATGACACTGTTGTCGAAGATGTGGTCCACGAATGGGATCTTAAGCACGAAATCGTTGCCTTCGTTGAGAAGAAGGTCTT